GCATCAGAGAGGCTAGCGACTAGCATGGATAACCTGATGTTAGCATCAGAGCGGCTAGTGACTAGCATGGATAAGCTGCATTAGCATCAGAGAGGCTAGCGCTAGCATGGATAACCTGGTGTTAGCATCAGATAGGCTAGTGATTAGCATGGATAAGTTGGTGTTAGCATTGGAGAGAGGCTAGTGATTAGCATGGATAAGCTGGTGTTAGCATCAGAGAGGCTAGTGACTAGCATGGATAAGCTGGCATTAGCATCAGAGAGGCTAGCGACTAGCATGGATAACCTGGTGTTAGCATCAGAGAGGCTAGTGACTAGCATGGATAAGCTGGCATTATTTTTGCTTATTATTTTCATTTAATTTAAGAAATATGAGACAGTTCAGACTCAAACTAAGTGAAAAAATCTGCCAGTGGATTAAGAATAATTGCAATTAGTAAGCCTCTTAAAATAAGGAAAATRTCCAGGTAACAAGGCTAAATAATCTTATGTTCTGCTCTTTTTATACTCAAAACAAAATTTAAAAAACCTTTCTGCCTGGATAGAAGATAAAAAGACTCGGTTAGACGGACAGTTGTGGGTTTCAGTTTGTTTTTCTGTGTTGATAACAGAATCGTTCAGGTGATGACGTTTCTGTGCTTTCTGTTTGTTCGGCTGTTTTCCATCCAGTGGATTTCTCTGAGGGACCTACTGATCCGTGGAGGCCAGAGGCTGACGGTGAACGAGCTCTGGGCTCTGTGTTACACCTGCCTGTCCTCTCTGCAGACATACACTGACTTCCCAGGTGAGTTACCTGCTGCCTGCAGCTCTCTGTAACAGAGGGTTGAAGTAAAATATGTTGCATTTTTAATGATTCTTCTTTCTCACCATCATTAGCCTATTTATGTCTGGACACAGTGTACGTGAACTGTGAAGGAGAGGTGCTTTTTCTGAAACCTAAAAACATCGGTGAGTTCATTTTAATCTGATTCTTAATTCTTGTTTTTAATCCAGTTAAATGGACGATTTATCCAAGTCATATTGTAGGTTTGAATAACTTCCTGTAAGTTTCTTCTCTGCAGAAACCCAGGATGACTTTTATCTTGCTCCTGAATATCAGGAACACGGGATCATAACTGAGAAGGTTCGTCCGTCCGAACCGCTTGTTTTCTCTTAAAGATGAATTCTTTCCTCACTTTCCCTCCTCCTCCTCAGGCCTGCGTGTACGGAGTGGCTGCTGTTCTCTGGGCCACGGCCAAGTTCACGTTATCACCCAGCCAAAAGCTGGCGCTGCCTCGCAGAATGAAGAGGATGCTGCTGGAGATGGCGAAGAGGACGCCGATGGAGAGGCCCACCATCGTCATGGCTAAGAAAGTACGAGTTAGAATTTGAAGCCAGAACCTCGCTGAGCTGCGACTGGTGGAGAAAAGTTCTCCTTCCAAAATATCTCAAAACCTTTGAGGGTTGAGTCACAACATTTACATATTTTCTCACAAATGAGTCACAGCTCAGTCAGATACCACCTTAAATAATTCATCTTTAAGGTGGTCTGAATGTTACTCAGTGCTCATCTTAAAAGACCATTTATAGCAGAAATAGTTTGGTGCTTTATTTATTATAACTGTGGGTCTAATAAAGCTCAGATTYACAGCAKCTGCTTTAACCTAAACAGACAAACCTTCAGTGATTTTTACTGATTTACTCAATAAAATAACTTTCAAACATTGAAAACGGTCTTGCTTAATGTTACAGAATTTATTATTAATAATAATAATAATAATAATAATAAAAACAACTAGGGCTTGCCATGTGACATGCNATATATATATATATGTTCCATTCATCTGTAGAACAACAGCAGCTGTTTTAACACTTAGACTTCTGATGAAATCTCCCGTTAGCTTTATTTTGATACCAAGATTATTTCTGTAAATGTTGAGAYACACTCAGTTACATCTCAACATGGTATTTTGAGCAAAAACTTCAAGAAAACCTCTTGGGGCTGAAGAGGTTAAAGCTAGTTTCATTTACGAATCCTCACACTCCTCTTGTTTGTAAAATTGTCACGAGTGTTTGGCATTGCTCTCCTTCCGGTACAATCCTGTTAAAAAGTGTTAAAGTGYCTCATGGGAAATGAGCGTAGCTCCAACTGGAGCTGCTCCTGAACCACGAGGCTCACGTGTCGCTTTAATAAACTGTCACTTCATTTCTCTGTCAATACAAGCGTCTCTTCCTCATTTAGCTTCTTTTTAACGTTCGAACAGGAGGGTCTGCTTTTCTTATGCATTTATTTTAAAGATTTTTAATTCTAAGACATTTAATTTAAGTTTTATGTCTTCTAGAGGAAATTCAAATCAAACTAAATACCTCATGTCGGTAGCATATATGTGACCTATCATATCAAAGATAAATTTGGTCAAATTGAAGATTTCCCAGATGGAAAGAAACAAAAACATTGCTAGCTCACTGGGAAAAATTCAAAATTTTGAGGCATTTTTCCTCAAAATGAGTTTTTTTTTTTTGTTGCTACTGCTCAAATTTCTGCTTCAAAAATGTTTTTTAGGATTATATTTCAGACAGTTCATTCAAATGATTCATTGATAAGACATTCATTTGTTGTATTTTGACAAAAAACACAAATTATAAATATACGCACAAACATATTTGGGTCTTTTTTCGATACCGTAAATAAACGACCAGACCTTGAGATACCACTGAACCAACCATCTCCCCTCCCAAAACAGAAACTACTTTTTTATCTGTGTATATGTATAATATAATTTGTGTGTTTGTGTGTATATGTATAATATAATTTGTGTGTTTGT